CGGCGCCGCCGCCCCCGGGCCCGCCCCCGCCCCCGCGGCTGCCGCTGCACGCCCGGCCGCTGCTGCACGTCCTGGGGACCTGCATCCTGTGCGCCTGCCTGCTGGCCTCCCTGGACCACCGGGCCCAGCAGGACCGCGTCCAGGACCTGCAGGACCGGGTCCGGGACGCGCCCGACTGGACGAGGCGCCGGCTGCTCGGCGGCGATAGTGAAAACAGTGTCGATGGTCGCACGCCGCCCCCGCGCCCGCCCCCGCGCCTCCCCACGCCAGCGCCGCCGCCCGGCGACAACAACGCTACGGAGCGGGCGCAGCAGGCGCAGCCCATGGTGCCCCATGAGGAGTCTATGGAAGCATGTGAGTACAAACACATCCGTTTTAGTGTGGCGGTAGAGAGAAACGCTGTGCAGGTGCACTGCAAGCTGTATGTCGACGCACAATCGCACTCCTACCCTTGAGGGGGTGGGCTCCTTTCATACTAGCCCAGCACAAACCCTCTCCAAGGGACGCGCGTCCGTATTTCGTCACGACGTTGTACCGGTGTAATATTTTCCCTATAAAAAACGTTTCGAGGCGCGCTCTTGGCAGAGTACGCGCCGCTCCGCCGCGCGTTGGTCCCGTCTGGGTCCCAGCCTGGCCGCCCGGCCCGTCCCGTCCCGGGGCCCCGGCCGTCCACTCCCCGGCGCGGCGCGAGGGCGCGGCGGGGGCGCGCCGCCCACACGGCAGGTAACTAAGCTGTGAATGCACGACGGCAACATGTCTGCGCGCCGCGCCGTCTGCGCCCCGGGGCCCCGGGCGGGGAGAGGGCGGCGCGGGGACGGGGCCGTGAGGGCCGCGGGCGGCCGCGGGGGCGGGGCGTCAAGTATTTAGTAGTGTATCGAGTGGTTATTGATAGTTCAGCCGCGCGATCGGTTTCCTGCTGCATCCGAGGAACGCCCCCTCACCTCGACTCTATTGGAGGTGGCCGCGGTGGCCGGGGCGGCGCAGGGCGGCGCACCGCCGCGCCCAATGCATGGTGGGTTGCATTCCGCCCGCCGCGCGGTGCGTATGCGCGAGCCCGCGAATACACACATTTGAAAGTTTGTCTCGTCTCGTGGAGAAAGTGAAAATCGGCTCCGGATTATTGCGAGGAGCAGACTAGTCTCTGGCGGCGTCGGCGGCTGCGGGTCAGAGGGGAGCGGGGCTGCGAGGGGGCGGGGCGGCGGGGCGGCGGGGAGGCGAGGAGGCTTCTCAAATTATTTTTGGAAGTTTGACGTTTGGCTTGGCTTGGCTCACGGGTCTCATCTCTCCTTCTCGCTCTCTCTCTCTCCTTCTCTCTCTCTCTCTCTCTCTCTCTCTCTCTCCTCCCTCTGTCTCTCGCTCCCTGCTCCCCTTTGCTTCTCCTCCCAGCGCCGTGCCCTCGCTCGCCGATCCACCCCGCCCGCCGCCACCGATGGCCTTGAGACGGAGTATCACATACTGCATACTTTACGTGATGGCGAAGATTGTGTCTGTCGGCTGGGGCCAGCCCGGAGCCCGGAGGAGGGGTGGAGACCGCGGAGCGCCGCGCTGCGCTGCCGCCTCCCGGCCGCCGCCCGACGGAGTCCGGGTAGGCAACACGATGCGCTGGCGCGCTCCGGGGCCGGCCTAACCACCGAGGCGCGCTCCGGGCGCCGGGCCGGTAGTGCAGCGTCGGCGGCTTCAGCAGCAGTGGCCGGGCGGGGTCGGCGGGGACCGCGCTGGGCAGCATCTCGCAGACTTTGTGAGAAATGTATGCCAGTGTATTTGTAGGGTGGGTCTAGGCGGGCGGGCACAGCGAGAAGCGACGCGCCCGTGATGTAGGGACGGTCCCTCGCGCGAGTTCGCGGGCCGAGCGTCGTGCGCGCGACGCCAGCGACGCCCCGCACCCCTCGTCCCGCGCCCCGCCACGCCACGCCCCGCCACGCCCAGCCACGCCACGCCCCGCCCCGCCACGCCAGAGCCGCTCAGGACCAGCCAGTGTCGTTAACCGGGGGCTCTGCCCAGGCCGCGCCCAGGCTCGCCGCGGCCCGGCTCGGCTCGGCCCTGCACGCCCCCGGCTGCTCGCGCCAGGCCCGGCGCGGCTCGCGCAGCGCTCGACTCGTATCAGGCTGGGCCGCCGTGCTGCCACGATGTGCTAGGCGACCGCTAGTGCTGTCAGAAAAGACCCATTTCGTGTTGTGTTTTACTTCAGAATGGGTTCGCTTCTTTAGAGAATGTAGGAATGTTTGGTTTGAGTGTCGCCGATGTTCTGTCACACATCCCAGTTTTGCGTTGCACTGTTCGGAAGTCTTAAGTTTAACACTGATTTTCTTTTTGTCTTCACATATTAATGGCTTCTCTCTCGAAAAATATCTGACACTGGGGAACCGAATTTGGTCTTCTATGCAACTTACTTTCTATTGCATAGTTAAGTACCATCCTTTTTGTTGGAATGTAATTGTATTTTTGGCCAGTGGTCAGTGATTAGGTCAGAAACTACACAATAAATTGTACCCAGTACATAATACTTTCCAATGCACGTTAACACTTACGCTCTTTGAGACCCAAACAACTTACAACATTACTGTAACAGAATCAAATTTAAAACGTGATAACCTTTTGCCGTATGCTCATCAGACCTCGGCCTGTGTTTCCTCAATCAGCAGGCCTTCCCCATCGTTTCCCTAGGCTTTCTCTTGTAAAGCGCGAGGCTGGGCGGGCGCGAGAGCTTTGAGGCCCCAGGGCCCCGGCCTGCGCCGCCCGTCCCACCGCGTCGCTAGAAACACACCTTGCGCCAAACTTAGAACCAGACCGTTGGGCGGGCAACGCGCGGCGCGGGCAACCCCGACCCGAGCTCTGCCAACTCCCCAACCCCTGCGCTCTCCCCCGCGCCGCTCAAGCCCGGCGTCCCTTTTTTCCTCCCTTTTGAACCTATCGTGAGATTTGAAAAATGCCGCGTTGCGCTTCCGTGGAGCCCTCCCTCATGTGTCTGCCGGACGTATATCGGCAGCGCTAGCCAGGCGCGCGGCGAGGCCTCACGGCGCGCCTCGCGCAAGCCATGTTATTGGCGACACCGAGTTGTCTCTTTTTCTTACCTCGGACCCTGTGGCCGCCGGCCGGCCCGGACAGCTTGAGCTCTGACAGGGAGATAGGGGAGGAGGAGGAGTGGGGAATGTGTCTGGCTGGGACCCGACTGCCCGGCAGCCGGCCGTGCCGTGCCCTGTCCGAGGTATCAGTGTCAAAATTTGGGCAGCAGGTATTGTAATTACAGGTCGTCCCCCCC